GCCAGGACGCAGTCTCTATCTATTTGGTGATGGCTCAGGCGGTTGCTACGGTGGCGACCCCCGAAGGAGACGAGTAGGCATCGGAGTGGCGACCATGAAGATGATCGACGGCAAGTGGAGTATGTCAGCAGGTGCGATGGCAGACCTACCAGGACGGCGTCAAACCGTACCGCGGGCAGAGATCACGGCGTTCGCGATCGCCATAGAGGAAACGAGAGGAGACATTGTTTACGTCACGGACCACTACCCGCTCCTCACAGCTTGGACAAAAGGCAGAGCTCAAGACCCTGGGCGAGGGAAGAACGCGGATCTATGGGCACGCATCAAGAGGGCGGTGATGGACACGTCCCCCAGACACATCGGAGTGGAGTGGACCCCGTCACACCAGGACGAGGACGAGGTTGAGCTAGTCAACCCGATTTTTGCGATGGGCAACAGCTTTGCAGACGCATTAGCTACGGTTGCGGCAGAAGCTTCTTGGGAAAGAGTGCGCACGCCAATACCACGGACAGACGAATGGGATGCGATCTGTGCTCATGTACGATTACGAGCAAGGCAGGCCTTGGCGGACACGGCGAACATTGACCCCTGGTGCGCCGAGAGGCCCTCCACAGCCAAGCCCAAAGCCAAGAGGGACCGAGTAAAGGAAGTCGTCGACAAGATGAAGCAGCACGATATGGTCAGGCTCAAGAATAAGTGGTTTTGCACAGCATGCAGACAGTACATCACAGCGGACGCCCTGCCGGAGTTTGCCATGACGGAATGCAACGCTACATACAGCACGGCCAACGAGATAGTCGAGGTAAAGGGCGACAGGTTCATGGGCAATGGCAAGATACATTGCAGCCACGTGGTCAGTGAATGGGTGCGGTACGGACTGCTATTCTGTGCGCGGTGCGCAGCACATGGAACGACCATTGGGAAAAGGCTACGTGAGCAGTGCAGCGAGACGATCACCAAGTACGGGCAGGATGCGCTCAACAAGATTCGGGACGGACGCTACCCTGGATACAGGAAAGAACCACTGCGAGCTGCACAAGAGGCTCAAATAGCTAGGCAGGCACGTGAGCTACATGATCAAGAACGGCTGGCGCCGCATGAGTACGGCGGGCCTTTGGTTGGGAATGCGCCCCCTCCAGAACCACACCCTACGCCCCGACCGAGACGGATTACGAGAAAGACACCAGTGGCAAGTATTCGGCCAGCAGCGGTACACCCAACAGATTGCGAGTGCGAGCCTCTGCCTGAGCCGAGGTCACATGAGTTGGAGGATTACGACGACCCCGAGGTGCAGAGGGACATTGACGATTTCTTCAGCGAAGCGCCCCTGCGCGGGGAGGAGTCAAACCGAGGCGTACCCCAGCGTGGCGAGGGGTTAGGCCACGTCACACCCCAGCACGGTGAGGGGTTAGACCGCACAGATCGTCGGCATGCAGCTGGATCGGAATCTGCCCCCCACGGCACGCACTGGATGCACGCAGCCCCTTTGGCCACGAGTGCTGAAAGTACCGACCGTGGGGGGAGTCAGAACGTAGTGGACAGCCATAACCACGACGACAATTGCAGGATGGACGACAGCAATGGAGTATTGGATCAAGATCCAGGCGCGATGGGACTACCGCCGATCGTTGAGGACACGGGGCCACAAGATTATGCCGACATGCGTGCTGATCTTAGAGAATGGGCAACACTGTGGTACGACGATCTTACGTGCTTGGCCAGAGACAGCGACAGCTGGCAGGAGTGGTGCGTAGCGATGCTCACGCAGATGCTCACCGACGAGAACAATCACCCCCTGTGCCGCACATTGAGGCGCTGGTTCCCAGGGCAGACGATGCAACAGATCATCGAGCAGCAGTGCGGAAGTGCGCGGAGACAAACAACGGCGAGAAGGGATGAGTTCTACGAACGACTCCATGCGCCAGAGACAGAACCCGAAGAGTATCGTAGATTGGCTCATCGGCATCGGCGTGAACTTGCACGGCTACGAGGCATGTTCCGCAGGGCGTTAGGAGATCGGGCGCCAGACGGACAAAGGCCGCCACCCCCACGACGGCCTGAATCAGATGACGATCATCAAGCAGGAGACCCCGTTGAAGCTGGCCTCAGTCGCGGCAGCTGGTGCTGCAGGCTTGAGCGGGCGACTGCTGGGGGTACGGATGCCACGTCACCTGCAAGAAGGACGCGCAGAGTCTCCACGGCGACAAGCGCATCGGCGGCAGCATCAAGCCCAGCGGGTGAGGGACCCCGGCGTGGCGAGGGGTTAGGCCACGATGCTCCCCAGCGCGGCGAGGGGTTAGGCCGATGGGAACATACACTGGCGTGCTCGAGCAGGTTAGCCAGGGCCGCGGCAGGCGACTACATCGAGCTCGAGCTCTACGAGGAGGGCGACGACACTGCACCCCAGCACGGCGAGGGGTTAGGCCGTATCGACGATGAAGGACTCCTTCGAGGCGAAGGAGAACAAAGGGTCGAAGGGCGGCGTCATGATGGACAGGAGATAGCGGGGGTGCGGCCCCATGAGCACCGCGACCCGATATCCACGAGCCAGGGACAGCCCGACGACCGCTCCGAGTGGAGGAAAGCACACCAGCGCGGTGAGGGGTTAGACCGCGTCAATGACAGGGAGCAGTACGGAAAGCAGTACGTCGCACCCCAGCGCGGTGAGGGGTTAGACCGCAGCCGACCCTCGCAGGGCGAGACTGCGGGGTCAGGCGATCCCCAGCACGGTGAGGGGTTAGACCGTAGGCTCCCCCTGCGTGGCGAGGGGTTAGGCCACCAACCCCAGCGCGGTGAGGGGTTAGACCGCGTTTTTCCCCCGCGTGGCGAGGGGTTAGGCCACAATTTTCCCCTGCGTGGCGAGGGGTTAGGCCACGATGCTCCCCAGCGCGGCGAGGGGTTAGGCCGATGGGAACATGCACTGGCGTGCTCGAGCAGGTTAGCCAGGGCCGCGGCAGGCGACTACATCGAGCTCGAGCTCTACGAGGAGGACGACGACACTGCACCCCAGCACGGCGAGGGGTTAGGCCGTATCGACGATGAAGGACTCCTTCGAGGCGAAGGAGAACAAAGGGTCGAAGGGCGGCGTCATGATGGACAGGAGACAGTGGGGGTGCGGCCCCATGAGCACCACGACCCGATCTCCACGAGCCAGGGACAGCCCGACGACCGCTCCGAGTGGAGGAAAGCACCCCAGCGCGGTGAGGGGTTAGACCGCGTCAATGAGAGGGAGCAGTACGGAAAGCAGTACGTCGCACCCCAGCGCGGTGAGGGGTTAGACCGCAGCCGACCCTCGCAGGGCGAGACTGCGGGGTCAGGCGATCCCCAGCACGGTGAGGGGTTAGACCGTAGGCTCCCCCTGCGTGGCGAGGGGTTAGGCCACCAACCCCAGCGCGGTGAGGGGTTAGACCGCGTTTTTCCCCCGCGTGGCGAGGGGTTAGGCCACAATTTTCCCCTGCGCGGCGAGGGGTTAGGCCGCAATGTGTACTTCGAGCTGGAGCTCTACGAGGAGGACGTCGTGGAGTTCACCGCCAGCGGCGAGTCGCAGGCGCAGCCCTGTGCGCCTGCCGCCGCCGCCGTCGCTCGCAGGCCCGCCGACGTGAACCCTTGTGTGCCAGAGCTGGCACCAAGGAGTGGGCCCTCGCTGGCCAGAGGGCCGTCGGGCGGCGGTGGAACTGACTGAGAGAGAAATCCACGGGCTCGCCATGTCGAGTGGGGGCTTCTGTGCCCGCTCGGGGTGGCGGGTCTAGTGGCGTGCCTAACCTAATCCTCCTCCCCATCCCCATCCCCATCCTCTTCCTTCTCCTCCTCTACCTATTTCCTCCTATCTCCTCCTCCTCTTCCTCCTCCTCCTCCTCCTCCTCCTCCTCCTCCTCCTCCTCCCCCTTCCCCTTCTCATTTCCTCCTATCTTCTTCTCTCCCTTTTCCTCTTCCTCCTCCTCTCCTCTTCCTCCTCCTCCTCCTCCTCATCCTCCTCCTATCCCTACCCCTCCTTTTCCTCCTCCTCCTCTACTTATTTCCTCATGTCTCCTCCTCCTCTTCCTCCTCCTCCCCCCCCTCCTCCCCCTCCCCTTCCGGCCACCAGGATGCCCCAAGATAGCCCCAGATGGCCCCAACAGCCCCCAGGGTAGCTTCAACAGATCACGATGACCCCCCAGTTAATCGACGTTCTTTTCCTCGGGCTCTTTACCGTCCTCCTTTGTCGTCGTCGTTCTTCTTGTTCTCCTACTCCTCCTCCTCTTCCTCCCTTTCCTCCTCCTCCGCCTCCTCCTCCTCCTCCTCATCCTCCTCCTCCTCCTCCTCCTCCTCCTCCTCCTCCTCCTCCTCCTCCTCCTCCTCCTCCGCGTCGTTTCTCATCGTGCTCGTCCTCTATATCTTCCTCCTCGTCCCCGCCTATGTCGTCCTACCCGTTGCCCTCGTGCTCGCATTGCTGCCCTTCCCGTCATCCACGCTGCCGTCATCGCCATCCGCCGCCCTGTCGTCACCATCACCCTCACAAACCCAGTTGGCAACCTCGGCGCTGCCCGTCCTTGTCCGATCAGCGCGGGTCAGTTTTTTGGTGGCTGGGGGGTGCGACACCTCGGGAGCGCGGGCCCGGTTCTCAGCGCGGGGCTGCCGCTTCGGGAGCGCGGGGACCCGTGGCTGTTCTGCACGGCGCCGTGTGGTCTGGGGAGCACGGGTCCGTGGTATTTCCAGTGCCCCTCAACACTTGGAGATTCCGACGGGGTGGTTTTGGCGTGGCGAAGGGCGAGGGTGCGCTTTCGGACCGGTGGGGGGGGTCGGCCGGTTTTTTTCGTTGTCTTAGAGTGCCACATCTCGAGAGACTGGGCAGCTCTGTGTTTTGACGATCGGAAACCAGAAGACCAGAGCCTGCAGGGTGATGAACTCTTGCGAGCAGCGTAATGCTGCAAACTGCCTGCTTGCAGTGGTGGGAGCAAAGCTGTTCCGTTCCTGGGACACGGACCGAGCAGCCAGGTGGCCTCCCAAAGGGGGGCCAGCGGATCTTGAACTCCGAGGAGCACGCGTTTGTCATGGACTGGTTATCCAGCGTACTCTTAGCTGGATTTGTGGTGTATGCTGTAATCCACCAATTATCTGTATGTGGGCTTGGCCCCGACATTCACTTTATACACTACGATGTAGAGGTTAACTTTTTCATCAACGTGTTTCTGAATGTTTGTCCAATCGTGTTGAATTTCAAACTGGTCCAGTCCTACGGGCGAGATTTGCGTTTGGAGGCAAAATGCACCAAGGTCTCTGTGCAGGCCGCTTCTGACGTGGGCAGGGCCCTTGTCGATTTTGATTTGGACAAGGCGCATTATTTGATGACGCGTATGGAAGAAGACTCCCCGATCTTTGAGCCGTTGATGAAGTTAATCGACAACTTGCGGACGTATCGGCCATTCTTGCCTGCATACCTTTTCCCGGCGGCCCCCGACGGCCAGTGCGACCCAACGAACAGGATCATCGCAGAAGCAATATCGGGAAAGGCTACGTCGTGGAGTCATGTTACAACGGCAGTTGAAAGGTTGCGAGACCCTGATTATTCGCTGAACGATTTTCACACAGATATGGAGACTGCGTTTCCTGAGCTCCAGCTTTACACAGTGGAGTCGGATGGATCGTTGTGTTCCTCTGGGCGGACCAGCCTCGAAGAGTACCAACGAACTCTCGGAGCACTCTACTCTGTATACTGCATTGCCCGTCTTGACATGGACGGAAAGGAGATCTTCTCATTTGGTGTTGACGTGAACGGGAAGCCCATGACAGCGACAAGTGGAGAGTCCGAGGCCCAGAAGATAGTTTTCTACAGATCCATGGACTGGAGGCGGATGTTGGAGTTGTTTGCGCGAGCAGGTCTTCTGAAGGTGTCGAGCAGGGAAGGCAAGCGTACCTTCAAAGCTGGCAGGCGTAGCATTGAAGAAGCCCCAGTCTGTACGCTCACCAGTTTGGATGTGGATAGCAGCCGGCCTAGCATGAACAGCAGTTACGTGCTTCCCATCAAGAGTATTACTTCCTCCAGAACAGGGGATCAGTTCCCGCGGGAGTTGTCAGTCAAACCTTCTAAGAGTCAGAGGGACAGCGAATTGTCATTCAGAAGTGCGACAACGCCAGTCGCGAAGAGACGTACATTTTCACCACAAGATCCCCACGACTGCGACGAAGACTGGAACCTCAGGATCGAGGTCGATGTCGAACGTATGACCGCGTTTCTTGCGTTGACTGCGATCCACGACATGATGCAGGCTGACGCCTGATCCACCTTCCAGATCACGAGAAGAAGGAGGAGGATGATGAGGAGGAGGTGGAAGGGGAGGGTTGGGAGATGAGGGGGAGGAAACAGAGGAGGATGAGGAGGAGGAGGAGGAGGAGGAGGAGGAGGAGAAGGAGGAGGAGGAGGAGGAGGAGAAGGAGGAGGAGTAGAAGGAGGGTGCCCTCGCACGTGCGCGGAGGAGAAGTACGAACGGGCACTTTTGCTTGGTGAGTCGCGCCGCTGGCTCTGGCCCACCGCGCTTCGGCGCGACACGCTAACCACGTCCTGGTCCCCAGGCGTCGACGTCCCAAGCTTTTCCCAGCCCTTTGCCCCGCGGAACGGAGCGACACGCCACCTGTTCGCAAGGCATGGCGTGTCGCCAGGGCCGCCGCCGCGACACTCTAAGCAAAAGCTCCCGATCGTAGGAAAGGGGAGAAGCCTCACACGCCAGTGACCCCCAAGGGGTCGGCGAATAATGAAAAACCCGTGCTTGTCGATGACGGTCCACAAGAGGCACGCGCCGTACCAGGGCGTGGCCGAGGGCTGCCAGATCCACGACCACGACCTCGCGCTCATGTACGTCATGGAGCCCTTCCTCCTCCTCCTCCACCTCCCCCTCCCCCTTTCCTTCCCCCTCCTCCTCCTCCTCCTCCTGCTCCTCCTCCTCCTCCTCCTCCTCCTGCTCCTCCGTCGCCTCCTCCTCCTCCTCCTCCTCTTCCTCCTCCTGGTGGAGGTGGTCAACAGCAACCGTGGTGGCAGCCTCCTCCTCCTCCTCCTGCTCGTCCTCTGTCATGTCATCGCCCCTCCGCGGATCCAGCGGGGGGAGGGAAAACTCACGGAGAGGCCCTCTCCTCTTCGCAGAAGGTACATCACCGTACCTGGCCAGGGCCACCCCGGGCCCCAGGATGGGGTTTCATAGACCCATCTCGGCCCTGGCCCGGAAGGGCGTGTACGGCATGCCGAGGCCCAAATAATGGCCTTGGCCAGGCATGGTGGTGGTGTAGAGGTGCCCTCTGCATGCCAGGCCCCAGGAAGCCGGATGCACACTGATGATGCGCCAGGAGGAGGAATAGGAGGAGGAGAAGCGAGAAGGCAGAGGAGGAGGAGGAGAAGGAGGAGGAGCAGGAGGAGAAGGAGGAGGAGGAGGAGGAATATGAGAATATGTGGAGGAGGAATATGAGAGCTGAATACCGCGTGTGGCCATGCGCGTCTCTCCGGCGCCCAGCCCTCGCGTGGCCAGGCACGCCAGACTGCCGCACGTGCGTGCAGCGCTGCACTCCGCACGGGAGCCCAGCCGCATGTGCGCTTGCAGCCTCCTGGTGCTCTTGGCGCGCGGCCGTGGACGGTTTCCCCCCGGGCCGTAGGCGACCCGAGGATGGGAGGGCGATGAGGGGGAGGGGGCCGTAGGCGACCCGAGGATGGGAGGGCGATGAGGGGGAGGGGAGGGTGAGGGGGAGGGGGAGGGGAGGAGGAGGGGAGGAATGGGGATGAATGAGGAGGAGGAGGAGGAGGAGGAGGACGAGGAGGAGGAGTAGGAGGAGGAGGGGGCGGAGGGGAGGAGGGGGAGGAGGCGGAGGAGGAGTAGAGGAGTAGGAGGAGGAGGATGAGGAGAGGCGGAGGAGGAGGAGGGGAGGAGGGGAGGGAGGGGAGGAGGGGGAGGAGGGGAGGAGGAGAGGAGGAGGAGGAGGAGGAGGAGGAGGAGGAGAGGAGGGAGTAGGAGGTGGAGGAGGAGGAGGGGAGAGGGGGAGGAGGAGGGGAGCGGCGGAGGAGGGGAAGGAGGAGGAGGAGGAGGCGGAGGAGGAGGAGGTGAGGGGGAGGAGGAGGGAGGTGTAGGTGGGGAGTAGGTGGGGAGGAGGTGGAGTGGAGGAGGAGGAGGAGGAGGAGGAGGGGGGGAGGTGGAGGTGGAGGTGGAGGTGGAGGACGAGAGGAGGTGTGGAGGAAGGAACCGTAGGAGGAGGAGGAGGAGGAGGAGGGAGGAGGAGATGGGAGGAGGAGGAGGGGAGGAGGAGGAGGAGGGAGGATGAGAGAAGAGGAGGAGGAGGAGTAGAGGAGGAGGAGGAGGAGGAGGAGGATGAGGAGGAGGAGGGAGGAGGAGGGGAGGGAGGAGGAGGATGCGGAGGAGAGGAGGAGGAAGGAGGAGGAGGATGAGAGGAGGGGCGGGAGGAGGAAGGAGGAGTCGCAGGAGGAGGAGGAGAGGGAGGAGGAGGATGAGGATGAGAGGAGGAGGAGGAGGAGGAGGAAGGAGAGGAGGAGGAGGAGGAGGAGGCGGGGAGGAGAGAGGAGGAGGAGAGGAGGAGGAGGAGGAGGAGAGGAGGAGGAGGAGGAGGAGGGAGGGAGGAGGAGGAGGGGAGAGGAGGAGGAGGAGGAGGAGGAGGAGGAGGAGGAGGAGGAGGAGGAGAGGAGGAGGGGCGGGGGAGCAGTACGCCCTTTGGAGAAACCCTCCACGCGGCCGACGGTGCCAGAGCGCGCCCGGGCAGGCGCGGGGGAGCTGGCCCTGGCGGAGTCGCGAGCGAAGAGAGGCCTCGTCGTGGCCTTCTGGCCTCCGGCACCGGCGCCGCCCCCGCCTCGGCCAGGAGCACTTCCCGGGGCTGCTGCCCAGCTTCCACGGGCTGGGCCCGGGCCAGCGCGCCGCGGTGTTCTTCTCGCAGGGGAAGATGGGCTTCAACAACGGCTGGCTCGTGCAGGGGGAGGCGCTCGGGGGTGGCCGAGAGGGGGGAGGACCAGGTGTGTGCGTGTGCGCGTGCGCGTATGTGCGCGTGCGTGTAGGTGGTTCCTTCTTTCTGTGTGTGTGTGTGGCAATCGTGGCTGGGGCCATGACGTCTCCTAAATTTCACGGCCCCACTGGCCCCCCCCGCCGCCCCCCTGGCCCGCGTCCACGCACACGCCCGATGGCGCGATGATGCGCCAGAGCCCCTCCCCCCCCTCTTGTGGCGCACAACCGAGGCACCACCCGGCGCCCTCTTCTCCAAGTTCAAGGAGGTCATCACTTTAGGCCTCCCGGCGCGCAGAGAAAGGAGGGGGGGAGGCGCAGGGCGATGGTGTCGGCCTTCTTGCGAGGGCACCGCCGCCAGTGGAGGTCATCACCCTAGGCTTCCCAGCGCGCAGAGAAAGGAGAGGGGGGGGGGCGCGGGGCGACGGCGGCGGGCCCTAAGGTTTTTCTTTGTTGTTGCTGTTCTGGGGCCCTCGGCGCGGGGCGACGGTGGCGGCCAGGGCAACGCCGCCAGTCCGAGGAACCGCCATGAAGCAAGCGGGCCCTAAGGGTTTTGTTTTGTGTTGTTGCTGTTGAACTCCCATTACTGAAAATATATATTGTTGATCCCCCACTCCAGTGATCATTGGGTTTTTCAATTGAAGTGCTTCCCCCGGGGCTCGCACCCTGTTATTTGATTAGGGAAAGTCACGGAGCTCAAACTGGCCCCTGGTTTACAACAACAACAACAATCATTTTAGGATTGTTCGCTCTTACTGGCACGCGTGTCTTGCATTCTGTATACCCCAACCCTCGATAGCCGCCCACTTCGTCTTCGATTACACCCCCTTTCGGGGGGAATCTCTTCCTTTCCGGCCACTGACTGAATTGCGAGAAAGTCTCGAGCGAGAGCGCCGTTTATGAATTCGGGGGCCTTCCTGGCCAGGAGCTCTCGGAGTAAATCGTGAGGAAGTATCGAGCAGGAGCCCTGGTCGTCGTGGCTGGGCCTCCGCCAGCTTGACTGACTTGCGAGGAAGTCTCGAGCGAGAGCACCGTTCCTGAGTTCGGGGGCATCTCTGGCCAGGGTGTCTCGGGGTAACTTGTCAGGAAGTATCGAGCGGGAGCCGTTGTTGTCGTGGCTGGGCCTCCAAGGGCCCACATTTCGGCTCAAGCCAATGCTCGAGCAGAGAGAATGTAGCCGGCGTCGAGGCGAGAGCGCGCGGAACTTTTTCCGAGGATCAACCATAATCAATCTTGAAAAATGAGTATTGCACAACGGCTCCCGCCTGATGCTTCCTCGCAATTCGTTTACAAATCGCGCTCTCGCGCGGGACTTCCTCACAATTCATGCACGCATCGCGCTCTCGCGTGGGACTTCCTCGCAATTTGTTCAGACGATACGCCATCGGCACTCAGGAATCACGCTATCGCTTCGATTTTTCTCACGATTTGCTTGGGATTCACGCTATCGCTCGAGACTTCCTCGCGATCACATGTCGACTCAAGCCAACGCTCGCGCTGCAGCCCTGTTTTCAAAGAAAATGTGGCCAGCGTCGAGGCGAGAGCGTGCAGAACCATTTCCAGGGATCAACAACAACTATTCTCTAGAAGTGAACATTCAACAATAACAACATCAACATCATCATCATCATCATCATCATCATCATCATCATCATCATCATCATCAACAACAACAACAAATAATTTAAACACTGTTCGCTCCTCCGATCTGTTCATGTGCCAATCAATACGTATATCCCAAGCCCTCGGTACCCGCCCTCGTCGTCTTCTATCGTGCCCCCTTGGGGGTATATCTTCCTTACCTGCCACATGCATTTAGTGCAGCCCCTGGAACAAGGGAAGACCGGACGGGTGGAAGCTGGAGGGAGAAAAATAGAGCACGAGAGAAATTAGCAGGAGGGGGGCAAGGAGCAGAAAACAAATGGTAGAACCAGACGGGCAGATCGGGTGGGCAGACCCATAGCGGGCAGGTCGGGAAGGCGGGCCCAGGCGACGAGGTCGAGCAGGCGGGTCCTGCATGAATCGCGAGGAAGTCTCGAGCGATAGCGTGATTTCAAGTAAATCGTGAGAAAAATCAAAGCGATAGCGTGATTCCTGAGCGCCGATGGCGTATCGTTTGAACAAATTGCGAGGAAGTCCCACGCGAGAGCGCGATGCGTGCATGAATTGTGAGGAAGTCCCGCGCGAGAGCGCGATTTGTAAACAAATTGCGAGGAAGCACCAGGCGGGAGCCGTTGTGCAATACTCATTTTTCAAGATTGATTATGGTTGATATCCAGAAATAGTTCCGCGCGCTCTCGCCTCGACGCCGGCTACATTCTCTCTGAAAACGAGGCTCCCGCTCGAGCATTGGTTTGAACCGAAATGTGGGCCCTTGGAGGCCCAGCCACGACAACAACGGCTCCCGTTCGATACTTCCTGACAAGTTACCCCGAGACACCCTGGCCAGAGATGCCCCCGAACTCAGGAACGGTGCTCTCGCTCGAGACTTCCTTGCAAGTCAATCAAATTGGCGAAGGCCCAGCCAGGACGACCAGGGCTCCTGCTCGATACTTCCTCACGATTTACTCCGAGAGCTCCTGGCCAGGAAGGTCGCTGAGCATCAGGTTGCCCACCCCTGGGTAGATTCAGATTGCTTAGAACATGTACGACGCACGCGTGACGCAGCAGGTACCGATAGATTTCCGCGCGCTGCTGTCGACTGCAGTCGTGCGTTTCTCTCGGCTTACAATCGTTTCACAAATCGCACTCGTTGCCGGTTGCGCCGGCTACGGCCCCCGAATTCATAAACGGCGCTCTCGCTCGAGACTTTCTCGCAATTCAAGCAAGTTGGTGGAGGCCCAACTGCGACGACAAGGGCTCTCGTTTGATATTTCTTGAAGAAGTATTCGCAGTGGTCCTTGCCAGAGAAGCCCCCGAACTCAAGGGTGGCGGTCTGGCTTGAGTTTTTTTGTGCAATTCAGTCAAATTGCTGGAGGCCCAGACACGGTGACATGTGTTCCGAGAGCCCCTGGCCTGGCCAGAGAGGCCCCCGAATTCAGGAACGGCGCTCTCGCTCGAGAGTTCCTCGCACTTCAGTCAGTGGCCGGCAAGGAAGAAATTCCCCCCGAAAGGGGGTGCGATCGAAGACGAAGTGGGCGGCTATCGAGGGTTGGGGTATACAAAATGCAAGACACGCGTGCCAGCAAGAGCGAACAATCCTAAAATGATTGTTGTTGTTGTTGCTGAACCTCTCTCACTACTGAAGAACAAGTATCGTTGATCCCTCCTCCGGTGACCATAGTGTTTTCTCAATTGAAGTGCTTCCCCCGGGGCTCGCACCCTGTTTTTTTAACAGGGAAAGTCGCTCGGCTCAAACTGGGTTGTTGGCCCCCGGACTACAACAACAACAACAATCATTTTAGGATTGTTCGCTCGTACTGGCACGCGTGTCTTGCATTCTGTATACCCCAACCCTCGATAGCCGCCCACTTCGACTTCGATTGCACCCCCTTTCGGGGGGAATCTCTTCTTTGTCGGCCAAGCCACTGACTGAAGTGCGAGGAAGTCTTGAGCGAGAGCGCCGTTCCTGAGTTCGGGGGCCTCTCTGGCAAGAGCCAGTGCGAATACTTCTTCAAGAAATATCGAACGAGAGCCCTTGTCGTCGCAGTTGGGCCTCCACCAACTTAACTGAATGGCGAGAAAATCCCGAGCGAGAGCGCCGTTCCTGAGTTCGGGGGCCTTCCTAACCAGGGGATCTCGGAGTAAATCGTGAGGAAGTATCGAGCATGAGCCCTTGTCGTCGTGGCTGGGCCTCCGGCAGCTTGACTGAAATGCGAGGAAGTCTCGAGCGAGAGCACCGTTCGTGAGTTCGGGGGCATCTCTGGCCAGGGTGTCTCGGGGTAACTTGTCAAGAGGTATCGAGCGGGAGCCATTGTCATCGTAGCTGGGCTTCCATGGTCCCACATTTAGACTCAAGCCAACGCTCGTGCGGGAGCCTCCTTTTCAAAGAAAATGTGGCCTGCATCGAGGCGAGAGCGCGCGGAACCGTTTCCGGATGTCAGCAATACTTATTTTCTAGAAGTGAGTAACAACAGCAAAAACAACAACAGCAACAACAATCACAACAACAACAACAACAACAACAACAACAACAACAACAACAACAACAACAACAACAATGCCAACAATACCAACAACAGCAACAACGGCTCCCGCTAGAGATTTCCTCACA